TGGAGATGTTGCTGTTGGCAGTGACAACCATGTCATTGCAATTGCAACAATTATTTGTAAGAAACTTCATTAGTTGATATTCAAGTAACAATGTTTTAAGTATCTTACATATTAGTATAAAACTTATAAATAAGTTTTATTGCTTTCATGTTTGCCATTTTTTTTTATTTTTGGAAATTACAAGATTTTGTGGTTAGCATGGCATGCATTAGACTTTTTCCCATGCAGAACATAGAAAAATAGGCTCCTGGATAGCATTTGCACACACTATGTCTAATTATCAGAACTATATTAATGACATTACATGGGGAGATAATTTCTCTATATCTCTGCAACTTTCTATCCTATAAGTCAGCCCCGGTTTTCTGTAAACTTTATTTGTGTTTCATGATGATCTTGGATCGTATCTTAGGCCATTTATACCACATTGTGTGTGTATATGTAATGGCTGGAGTGGGGGAAGATCTCAGATGCTTCTGTATTGTTAGCAAGAACATCTCAAATGGAGAAAATAGCCATTGTGTCACCATAATTTCAATAATATTTAGGTCCTTAACAGATCAAGGAAAACTCAGTGCATGACAGAAGTTGATGTCACTCAACTTTTTTTTGTTTATATTTACTATTTTTCCTTTCCCTCCTATTCTTTTCACCTGAATTCAAAACTGCCCCAAAGCTGGCCACACAGGGCCATCTGCTTGTGTTAAGATGTCAGGCAGTTTTGCTGAAGAGAGTAACTCCTTCAGAGCCATTTGTGAACATTCAGACCATTCTTGCACTGGCTTTAAATAGTCTTAGACCATTTGTTTCTTCACAGGTGACTCATAAATCTGTGATACATTTAGAAGAACTAAACAAGCTCTGTTGACCACAAATGGTACTGGATTCTGTATTTCTGTGAGTTCTAAAAGTTTCATGTGACAGTTAAAACTATCTGATGACCCTGGCCAGTGTGGCTCAGTTGGTTGGGCATCATCCCACAAAGCAAAAGGTTGCCAGTTTGATTCCCTGTGAGGGTACATGCTTGGGTCATGGATTCAGTCCCCAGTCAGGGCTTGTAGGAGAGGCAGCTGATAGATGTTTTGCTCCCTCCCTTTCTCCCTTCCCTCTCTCTAAAAATAACTAAAATTATTAGAAAATTACCTGTTGAGGCAGTTGAGAATGAATTAATTACAATGTGGTCCAGTTGTCTCGGTCTTACAGAATTACATATGTTGTACAAATATAAGGATAATTTTCCAGCAAACATTTATTTTCATAAGGTAAACTGTATTTGAAAAATACCCTGTGTTGAGGAATGCAGTTTGTGGAAATAATGGCTGTACCTCAAAAATCATCTGGTATAATTAATAAAGACTATAGAAAGGTGTTTTTTTCTCAGCTTTTACCTTGATTATTATTGGTAATCTTATAAATGGAATATGGTATTACTTTAAAATGATTTTCATATTAACATTATAGAATTAAATGTTTTAAAATGGCATATAAAAATTAAAATTTTTTAAAATTAAAGAATTTAAATATGACAATAAAATGTTAGCTTCTGTTTGGATATGAAAACTGTAAACTTCAGAAATAGTAATACATAGACTACTTAACTTAGTTCTCTAAATCTAATTTCTCCCTAGTATTTCTTGTTTCAACAAATGGCATCTCCATCCTTTCGAGACCTGGGATCATGCCTATCATAGTGCCTCATATCCCATATTTACACATGTACCTTATACATAGCAAGTGTTCAGTGTTTTATATATATATATATATATATATATATATATATATATATAACATATATATTCACATATATTATATTGGCTATCTGATTCATGTGTTTGGCAAAGAAAATATTTTTCTATTAAAGAAAGATGGCTAATAGTCATAGAAACCAAGTAATTGTCAAAGAATTAAAAAGTAAAGTAAAATTTAGAGGGAAAATCAGACATTGAGGGAGTTTTAAAAAGAAATTTTATAGTTGTGATTACTAAATTTTGATTGAATTTTCAAGCTATTAAAATATAAATGCATAGACAGAAAATGGATAGATAGATGAATTAATAGATGGATAAATCAAAATGACTCTAAGAAGCTGGAAGCTATTAAGTTCTTCATCAAGACCATATGTAATTTTAAGTATTTGCCATCAGGGGAAATCAGTCTCTGTTACATTAGTAAATCACTGAAATTGAAATTTGAGATCTGAGATTGGATAAATGTTCATAGGGTCTTAGACATACTAGATACATTATCCAAAAATAAATTAAAATGAAAGAATCGGTAACATATCAGGATGAATCACAATGGAAACAAATTAGAAATTAATAATTTAGGAAAGAGAAAAATAGAAAACTCTAATATGACCACACATAGCAATTAAAAATCCTAAATATCTATTTTAGATACCTCATATAAATGGAATCATGCAGTGTTTGTCTTTCTGTGACTGACTTATTTCATTTAGCATAATGTCTGGAAAGCTCATTTAATTTGTTGTGTATTGCAGAACTTCCTTCTTTTGAAAGACTGAACATATTCCAGAGTATGTAATGCCATATTTTGTTTAGTCATTCATCTGTTAGTGGAAATTTAGGTTGTTTCCACACTTTGGCTATTGTGAATAGTGCTGCAGTCAACATAAAAGTCTTACTATTTCTTTGACATCCTGATTTAAATTTTTTTTGATAAATATAAGAAGTGGGATTCCTGGATGATATGTAGTGCTATTTTTCATTTTTTGAGGAACCTCCTTTTCCATAGCGGCTGCATCCATTTTTCATTGCCATCAACAGTGTGCAAAGGTTCCAGTCTCTCCACATTCTCACAAACACATGTGGTATTTGTCTTTATAATAGTAGCCATCCTAACAGGTGTGAGCAGATATCTCATTGTGGTTTTGACTTATACTTCCCTGATGATTAGTGACAGTGAGCTTCTTTTTCATGTATTTGATAGTCTTTTGTGTGTCTTTGGAGAAATGTTTAATCAAGTCTTCAGTCCACTTAAAAATGGAAGGTTAAGTTTTTTTACCTTTGAGTTATAGGAGTTCCTTATATTTTGGAGATTAACTCATTTTATAGATATATATTTTAAATATATTTTATATATAGGTATATATAAAATAAAGAGTTAAATATGTATTTTGAAATATATAAATATATAAAATGTAAATATTTTTATTAAATATGTATGAAAATATATAAATATATATAATGTAAACACATATTTTATAAAAATATATATATTTTAAAAACAATTTCTCCCATTCTGTGAGTTACCTTTTTACACTATTGATTATTTTGCTATGCAGAAGCTTTTTAATATAATGTAATCCCACTTGTCTATTTTTGCTTTTATTGCCTGTTTTTGGTGTCACAGTTATGAAATTATTGTCAGAAGTTATTATGATTTATATACTAAAGTCATAATGCTTCCCCCTATATTTTTTCTAGGGATTTTATAATTTCAGGCCTGATATTTAAGTCTTTAATCAATTTTGAGTGATTTTTTTTGTGTACAGTGTGAGTAAGTTTCCAATTTCATTCTTGTGCATGTGGAATTCCACTTTTTCCATCACTGTTTGTTGAAGAGATGATTCTTCCTTTATTGCGTATGCTTGGTGCACTTGTCAGACATAAGTTTATTGTATATGTGTGAATTTATTTCTGGGTTCTCTATTCTTTCCATTAGTCTGTATGTCCATCTTCATGCCAATACCTTACTACTGTATTTTGATTACTGTAGTTTTATAATATATTTTGAAAACAAGGAGTATTATGCCTCTAACTTAGTTTTTCTCAAGACTGATTGTCTATTTGTTGTTGTTTTTTGTGGTTTCACATGAATTATAGAATTTTTTTTTATTTTTGTAAAAAATGCCTCTGAAGTTTTAATAGATATTACATTGAGTTTTTAGATAGCTTTGGGTAGTATAGACTTTTTAACAACATTGTTTCTTTCAATCCATGAATACAAAAATCTATTTATGTCTTCTTCATTTTCTTTTCATCAATCTCTTAATGTTTTCAGTGTGAAGATCTTTTACCTGCTTGGTAATATTTATTTGTAAGAATTTCATTATTTTGATGCAATTGTAGTGGGATATCTTTTTCAGATGGTTTTTTGTTATTGTATAGAAATGCAACCAATTTTCATATGTTGATTTTGTGTTCTGCAACTTTACTCAATTTACTAGTTCTACCATGTTTTGTCTTTAGAGTTTTCTAGATATAAGATTATGTCTTCTGCAAATAGGGGCAGTTACTTCTCTCTGATTTTATTTCTGCCTTCCATAGACTACAAGTTAGATAATCCTTATCAGTTAGTAGTTTTTCAAGCAGGGATTCAGTGAGCCAAGATACTTCCGAGTTGTGTATCTACCATCTACTAGGGCCCTATCTTTAGCTCCATGCATCAAAGGAAGAAAGAAGGAGGAGGCACATCTGTTTCTTAATAGATGTGGTATAGAAATGACAGATATCACTTCTGCCCACTTTCTGTTGGAGAGGACGTTGTTTCATGGCCACAAGGATAGCAAAGAAGGCTGAGAGATTTTGTTCCTTTGTGTGTCCAGTGAAGGGAAAAGCAATGTTGTTGGCAGCTATTAGTTCCCACCAGAATTGAGGAAAACAAGGTAAAACAGATTATGAGTTCTTTGCAATTATGAGATAATAACTATATGGAAAAATAATATGCATGTTTAAGTATAAGATACTTCTTTTGAGTCAGTGCAAGTTAAATAATTTAAAAAGATAAGGTAATGCAGGAAACATAAGAATCAGTGCATTTCTGTGTTAAAATGCTTCAGTAGTGATTTTTTCTTTCCAAAATCACTGTCAAATCACAAATTGAAAAGGAACATCAGTTGGGGAAAATGCTTCTTAATATAAATAAATAGCAAATTCTTGTGAATTTTATTAATGTATTTTTTCAAAACAATTGAGACAGAAATTAAACTGTGCTTAACACTTATATAATGTACTGTGTTTGTCTGCTGTGTGATGTAGATAAGGAGTCTGAACATGACACTGAGGATGAAGGACTGCATGCCAGTTTCAGGATATCAGTGTTGAAACCACTCATACATTCTTCAGGTTCATTGAAATATGCTGCAGTATTGAAAGAGAAGAAACAAGATTCTTCTCTTACATATGCCATGCCATTTCCTACCACTCATCAAAAACCAGTAATTAAAAAAAAGCACATGCCTTTGGAGAAGAATGCAAGAAGAGAGTTTTTTACAGCACCCAGAACTAGTATAAAACTCAAAACTCCTTCTGATATTGATAAATACTACTTAGAACAAAAGAAGCTGGATAGCCATAAGAAAAAAGTAATAGCTGTAGCCAAGGCTCAAGCTGCTGAAGAAAAAGCCAGCTTAATTGTTCAAGAGACTTTATACAAGAAAAGGTATGCTACACGAAAACAAATGGCAGAAGATAAGAGAGCAATTCAGGCTGGTTTATACCGACTTTGGCAGGACAGAGTCAACTACCTTGAAAAAGTTAGAGAAAGGAGAGCTTTGTTTTTAGAAGAAAAAGAGCAAAAAGCTAAAGAACGTTTATTAATTCTACAATTAAATAATGAGCGTACTGTTTTGACCAAAGGAATAAATAAAATTGACAGATTGAAAAAAAATGAAACTCTCTTAAAAGAGAAATGTCTGATTGTTAAGAAAAAAGTAGAAGCAGAAAAATATCAAAAGAAGGTAGTTAAATACAATAAGGAATTTAGGTAAGTACAATTATTTTGATGTAATAGAAATGTTTAAGTCAATTTCATGTGAATATTGCATACTAAATTTTGAGATCTAATAAACAGTACTTTATCACATGGTATATCTTACTTTGGAAAACAGAAATGGACAAATACATCCTAATATATTGCCAAAGATGATACAACTCAGTATTTCCCCATCCCCACCCTTATCCAATGAAATCTTCTTAATTAATTCTTCTAACTGTAAACAGCATCATCACTAGCCTCTTCACCAGTGCTAGTAAACTCAGTCCTTTGCAACTCAGTTTCCCTTATTGCCAGTATCTAATATGTTTCCCTATTCATTTTACTTCTAAAAGGAATCTCAAACAGATCCTTATTCAATCCCACTTCTCCTAAAATAATTCATGCTCTCATAGTTCCTCTGAGAATTCACATTATTCTTTCAATTGAGACCCCTATCTCCATTCTCCATCTGTTCTTCAATCATATATGTTCTCCAGCCTACAAACTTAAATTATCTTTTAAGTTCTTATCATGCCATTTACTTCTTAAATACATTGATACCTTGCAATTGTCTACAAAATCTAATCTCCTCTGAGCGGCATTTCCACTCAGAGGATAAACATCATGCTGTCTTCCAGTCTGTGGAGACCCATGTCACTAAATTGTATGCTTGGCCTCCTTGCTGTCTCCCTAGCCTCACTCTTTGCTCTGGACAGACTACATTATTCACCACTCCCTACTCAACTTGGTGCTTTCTTCTCCTTAAAGTGTAACTGATTCTATCACCTTTTTTCCTCAGATATTTACTCCCCAAAGGCACTACAAGCCCACAATGTTTCTGTTGCCTACGTATTATGCAACAGAGACTCTGTGTTGTTGAGTGAATGTTATTTTGAGGTGTTGAGACTGGTGAAGAGGTCGTGCCCACATGTGAGGGGGAAAGCACATCAGTAGTAGCTGATGCTCAGCTGAGTGTGACTGTTTTCCCCTTTCTGCCCCCATGACACAGTGTGTGAACTGGACAACCACTGACAAAATTTATCCTTTTATTATCTAATCAGCTGAAATGGTACATATTCACTATCACTCTCTCCCCAACTGCTTTTCTAGTCTGTTAGTCCTTTTCATTTGGTGTTACTGCCACAGTTTTTAAAAATCTCAATTGTAAGGAGTTATACAAGGGCTTATATCAGGTAAGCTTCTGAAGGCCTTTATAAGATAATTTGGTCTATCGTTCCATGTCAGTGCTTGGTACAACAGTTTACAAAAGTCTCTTCAATAATTATTTATTGAAGAAAATAGGTAACAATCACAGTTTTTAAATTAATGGTTGTATGTGCCAACAAGTCCATTTGGGCCATATAATAGACGCTGGTATAGACAAGTGTTTTTTGTATATCTTTGTACTCAATACTTTAGCCACTGGAATGAGAAGCAATACATTTTTAAAAGATTTTATTTATTTATTTTTAGAGAGGGGAAGGAAGGGAGAAAGAGAGGGAGAGAAACATCAGTGTGTGGTTGTCTCTCATTCACCACCTATTGGAGACCTGGCCACACAACCCAGGCATGTGCCCTGACTGGGAATCAAACCAGCTATGCTTTGGTGTGCAGGCTCACACTCAATCCATTGAGCTACACCAGCCATGGTGTGCATTTCTTCTAAATGTTTGTAAACTGAAGATATGTAATCACAACTACTACATATATACTAAAATATAGTTAACCAACCTATGAATAGCTTCACTAGTCATTAGAATAGGTATCTATCTTAGAACAAGTACTTGATTTTATTACAGTAAATTTGTCCTGCCATTCTTTTTTGTCCCTCTGTAATCACTGGCATTTCTACAAATGAGTACTCACTTAGCTACATTTCAAAACATTCAAATAGTAATTCACTCCCAGCTGTTGAACATGCCAGGTGATGTGGGGACATAAAAAGCCTTGGGCCCCAAGAAACTGAAAATTTAGGTCACCAGGTAATAAGACTTCTTGAGTGAAATAATAACACAGGCTATAATAGTATAAGAACTATCAAGGTACAGATTTAAAATTTAAATAAATAGGTGAGAGCAGTATAGGGAAACTTCAAAGAGAAAGCTTAACATTAACTTGTCAATTCATTTTAGTTCTGTCCTATACCCCGTACAAAAATAATGAAGATATTCTTGATTCTCTAAGAACTCACAGCCCAGTGACAAATTTAAGCATACATTTGAATTATTGAAGAATAGGAAAATTACAATTGTTGATCAGAATTTGGAAAAGTAGAGATATGAGGGGGAAACCTTGTCTGCAGAGAGGATGAGCAAAATTGGAAAGTTCAGAATAGGTAACAGGGAGAGGTAGGAACTAGTGAATATGGCTTTACCCATATTTACCAAGCAGAAGTTTTATAAGGTAGAGTAGTTGAGGTGTGATTGCTTAAGAAACATTAAATTGGATTAGCTAGGGCCTCCACATCCCAGTGGGTAGTCTTATGGTAAAGACCATTAGAAGTCCTACTAGAAAAAACAATCGTTGCATTTTAAACATTTTAGACATGCATTTTACCACACAACCTTCTTTTTAGGAAACATCTGAGAACACTAATCCTCAGAACACACTTGGGACAAACCTGTCTCAAATGCAAAAGCATTTAATTATTCCATAATGCAGATTTTTTAATTTTAAACTAAACTTAAGTAAGGAGATTATAAAATTTTATATTGATTCAAAATACTTTAGCCTACACTTAGTAACTTTAAATTTTATTTGTTGTGAAAGATTTTTACTGAGGTATCATTGGCATATAACATATTAGTTTTAGATGTATAGCATCCTGCTTTGCTATTTTTATATAATGATCACCACATTAAGTCTAGCTAACTTCTGAAACCATATATAGTTAAATTTTTTCTTGTGAAGAGAATATTAAAATTTATTCTCTCAACACTTTTAAATATTCAATACAGTGTTATTTATGAGGATTTTTCAGATTTATTTTATCAGCAACTTTTAAATATTCAGTATTATTAACTATAGTCACATGCTGTACTTACATCCCCATGACTTATTTATTTTATAACTGTAAGTTTTTATCTTTTAACCCCCTTCACCCACTTTACCCCTCCCCCACCTCTGGTAACCACCAGTTTATTCTCTATATCTATTTGTTTGTTTTAGATTCTGCATGTAACTGACATCAGATGGAATTTGTCTTTCTCTGTTTGACCTAATTCACTTAGCATAATGCTGTCAACTTCTACCAGGTTACTGCAAATAGCAGTGTTTTCTTCTTTTTTATGGCTGATGATATTCATATAAATACATGACATTTTCTTTACAAAGGATATTTTAAGAACCTAAAACCATGACTCATATAAATATAAAATAAACATGTCAAAGTTTTATTTAACTCATTAATTAATGAAGAAACTAGTAAGACACTACAACCAATGCAGATGAGAATTCTAAGGGCATGCATATAAACAGGCAATCAGAAATGTCAAAAATAAATGTAGTCATTATCCACTGGCAATAATCAACTGAACTGGACAAATTCATTTACATTTCTATAGACATGGGTCATTTGCATTACTCATAGTTTTTCTCAACTTGCAGAGCTATAAAATAGCGCAAAGAGATTGAAATACACAGATAACTCTGCAGGGTACAATAGACAGGGCATCCAGTACTTTTTTAACCCTTTCAAAGTTTTTCACACAATTTTTTTTCTGCTATTAGATTTAAGCTTAACAACCACAGCTTTATCCTGGTTATATTTTAAGTGGTCAAACTATGTAAATACATACATATATTTAGAGCTTATCTAGAAATTCTTGAGAACATTATAGCTGCCTATTTCATTTACATTTATAAATGCCATCATTTAAAAAAAATAGTTTGTACTAAAAAGGGGTGTCAAGAAGAAAACATTTGCCTTTCCTGTTTATAACTAGCACCTTTTAAACTATTTACTAAGGTACTTTATATAATACCTTTTTAAGCATAAAATATTTTATGTTTTTCCCTGCCATAATTTATAAACAGTTTTCATTAAGGCATACTCTGTGTGTGTGAGAGATTTTTTGAAATAATGTTTCTATAATAAAAATATTTTGGAAAAGAGAATGAAAGCTAGTCTTTTATATCAAAACACAAATATAGTGCAAATCAGTGTTAAGGAAATTTAATCAGCTTCATTTTATCACAGCAAATTGACTGTCTGGCCATCATTAATTTGTAGAAGATACAGAATCAAGTGAGCTTCCTAATGTATCTTTACTGAATTATCTTCTCTTGTAAACAGCTGCAAAGATACTATCTTTGAAAGCACACAGGAATAGGCAACATAATGTTGTCCTAAAAGGCATTATTGAGTTTTATTTATAAATATTTTCAAAATAAAACTAGAGTATCAACAAGCAGAAGAGTCTGCCTAGAAACTTTAGAGTTTTTAAATTTTTTTCTGGCTCAAATACTTTACCTAAAAGCATTCTAATGAATGTCAATAACTAGTGAAGTCACTACTGAGAGAGTGACTTATGTTCCTGCTGTTGGGTGAGCAGGAATGGAAGAAGGAAGGGAAACCATAAATCTCTAGTTTAGAAAGTTGATAAAATATCCACAGGGGCATTTAAGGATGACTTAAAACGAGACTTTGAATTGAAAGAACTTATGTACCAGGTAAGCTGATCATGTCTTCCCCAATATTATTCTCCATATTCTGAAAAACTGATGGTACTGTTCAGGGCAGAGCAGCAGGCTGTCCATGTTGAAGTCCAGCATCCATTAGTGTGGAGGACTTCATGTGGCACATGAGGCAGTTGCCCAATTACATCTTCTGCTTCTTTGTGTTTTGGTCATTAGTTGACCTCCTAGACTACTTGGCCATTCATTCACTGTGGTCTTTATATCTTGATTTATAATGCTTTTCTCCCTCCAAATTCTCCTCTAATCATGGTTAACTCCTAAATTCATAAGAACAACCCTCTTGATTGCCTAACCTAAACACATTTGTATCCCAGCAACCTTTAAAGTGACTTCCATCGACATCCAAAACCACCATCATACTTGGAACTGTCTTACCTCTTTGAGACTCTTGCCCTGTCTGGTGTGGCTCAGTGGATTGAGCGCAGGCTGTGAACCGAAGTGCTGCAGGTTCTATTCCCAGTCAGGGTACATGCCTGGGTTGCAGGCTATGACCACCAGCAACCACACATTGATGTTTCTCTTTTTCTCTCTTTCTCCTTCCATTCCCTCTCTAAAAATAAATAAATAAAATCTTTAAAAAAAAAGAACCATTAAAAAAAAAGAAAAGAAAAAGAATAAACCTCACTCAAAATTTTAAAAAAAGTTTGAGACTCTTGTATATTTACTTATGGCTAAATTCTTTTATCATTTTTAATTCTTTTTTTACTTGCACAACATGTAATCTTCAAAGATAGGCCTTGCATATTTTTGTTTAGCTTGTGTTAAAGTACTTTATAGGATTTTTTGATGGTATTATAAATGGAATTTATTTCATAATTTTATTTTCCAATTGTTTGATCCTGATACACTATATAATTATGATAAATTCTTGTGTTTCTCTTCAATTCTTTTAGTTTTTTTTTTTTACATTTTGTCCACAGTATATAATTGTTATTTGTGGGAGAGCTATTTCAGTGCATTTTTAGACTTAATCAGTACCCTTAATTACATTTGTAAAGTCCCTTTTGAGGTGACTTACTTTGCTACATGTCCAGACAAGATTATCTTCCAGTGTTCCAGACACAATAGTTGCAGCTAATTTTCATTGACTGGTTGTTACATTCTAGGCATTCCTCTAAAGTTTTTAAATGTACTAGGTTATTTATTCCTTACCAACTCCTGTGAGTTGAACTGTCCCATCTTAGAGGTGAAGAAAATGATACCGACATAGCTTAAAATAACTTTTCAGAAATCACTGAATCAATAAGTTGCAGAACTGGGTTTCACACCTAAGCAGAATGGCTTCATTCCTGTTCTCTGCAACACAATCCCTTGCTTCTCTGCATTCTGCTCCCTTAGCATCACCACCCACACAGCTGGCTTTTTTTTTTTAATAACGGACTGCTTTTTTTAAGATTTTATTTATTTATTTTTAGAGAGAGAAGGGAGGGAGAAAGAGAGAGAGAGAGAAACATCAATGTGCGGTTGCTGGGGGCTGTGGCCTGCAACCCAGGCATGTGCCCTGACTGGGAATTGAACCTGCGACACTTTGGTTCACAGCCCATGCTCAATCCACCGAGTTACGCCAGCTAGGGCACACAGCCGGCTTTTAACATTCCATTTTGCAAAAGCAGAACTCCCGTCTTTTCCCCCATCTCGTTGTTCTTCAGACATTTTCTGTCCCCATGAATGCCATCATTATTTGCCTAGTAAAAGGAATTATTAAATGTCAGGCATTCCTCTAAGGCTTTTAAATATGTTAATTCATTTGGTCCTTTATTAAATCCTATGAGGTGGATTATCCCCCTTTCAAAGATGAAGAAAGTGAGACAGAGAGAATGAAAATAACTTCTCTGAAATCACATAGTGAATAATTTTTAAACTTTCTAGACTTCGGCCCCATTTTCACTTCCCAAATCTAGATTCTGAGTTGCCCTAGGAACTCATGATAAAGAACACCATGACCTAGTCAAATTCTGTTTTTCTGGGCTTATCTGCTCTACTGTTCTTACCAGAACTGTATTGCCTAGGCAGACAGAGCGTTGGCACTTCTCAGAGCCTGTGGGGCTGTGCTGCCCTTGCTTCTTTGATTTGAGCCTGAAGCCTCCTCCTCTTCCCTCTGCCTGTTCTCCAGATTATGTTTTCTAATATCTTCAGGTTTCATTCTGTCCTGTTACATTGTGCTTTCATTATGGTATTATAGCATTTTATTTGTATTTATATACTTTTACTTCCCTTTATATAAGCTTCTCATGTATCATGTCATATATTTATCTTTATGTTTCTAGCATCTAGGGAGTGTGCCAAACATTGTAATACATAGCTGTTGAGTAAATGAGGATGAATGAATAAATTCTTCTAAGGTCCTTGGCATTTCCAGGTGTGACAGTGTTACCTGGTTCATCTTTCTCTAACTTAGAGTTTGTGTTAGTCTCCTAGGGCTGCCATAACAAAATACTACAGACTGGGTAGATGGTCCAGCAAATATTTTCTCACAGTTTCAGAGGCTAGAAGTCCGAGCTCACGATGCTGACAGGTTTGGTTGCTCCTCGGGCCTCTCTCGGCCGCTTTCTCACTGTGTCCTCACATGGCTTTTGTCCTGTGTGTATACGTACTTCGTGTCTCTTCATCTTCTCATATTAGACTAGAGTTCACCCATATGATCTCATTTAAATTTAATTGCCTCTTAAAGGACCTATTCTCCAAATATAGCCATATTCTAAGGTTCTAGGATTTAGAACTTGAACACATAAATTTGGAGGGAACACAGTTCAATCAGTAACAGAGTCCTAGAAGAAGCCTGGATTTAGTGAGGCTTAAGTAAAAGTCCTGCAAATCACGGCATAGTCTGGTTTAGATGGCTTTTTGGGAATGTAAACCATAGTTTGCATACATTTTATTGTAGCCAATAGAGATCTTAGAAATATTAACCTAATAATATGCCCTGGCTGGTGTAGCTCAGTGGATTGAGCAAACACCAGTGAAGCAAAGGGTTGCTGGTTCTATTCCCAGTCAGGGCTCATGCGTGGGTTTCGGGCAGGTCCCCAGTTTGGGGTGTGTGAGAGGCAACCCCACATTGATATTTCTCTCCCTCTCTTTCTCTGTCCCTTCCCTCTGTCTAAAAATAAATAAATAAAATCTTTAAAAAAGAAATATTAACCTAATATCGATATTAGTGAATGTTATAATAAAATTCCATGTAATAAGTGAAGTTCTAAACATATAATAAAGATTATATTTTAAAAAAATTTTTTAAATCTTTCAGCAAACTAAAAAAAATCAGTGAAGTTTTGTCTTATTTTCTGTTTGCATATGTCTATTTTGACTACATTTAATTATTATTAACAAATTGACTGAATGTTGTGCTTTTAGTAATTTAAAAGTGTCTTATTCTATTACCTTTTTTTTCCTCTTAGGGCTCAAGAAGCATATAAAAGACACTGTGAAGAAAAATTTGTTTTAGATACACTTGGCTTCCAAAAAGCTTCTGAAAGATTACAAGATGCTAAAGCAAGAGTAGCCATGGTGAAAGCAAATTTACTCCTAAAAGTTCCCAGTGAAATGACAGAATGAACCAATGCCAGGTCCCACCCCAGGGTCATTTCGAATTAGGACCATTATTTTCAGTTAAAGGACTTTGAAATAATACTATGAAAGAAGAAATACTCTGTGTCACAAGATGGATTTGTATATAAATATTTCTAAAATATAAAAAGTAATGAAAATGTTTCTCTTACTGTTCCTAATTTAACTTAAATCAAGTTGACTTGTCACCCCCAAAGTTTCCACATATATCCACATCCCCAAGGAACAGTGAAACTGATCTCCTTTATTGCAGGAAGTGTTGTAAAACATGTTGCTTGTATTGTTTCATATCCAGAGTGTAGCAATTCATAAGTGATTTTCAGTTTCTCTGGCAATCTCACCACAGTTATTTCTTTCCAACCGCTGAGTTTTATTAAGACACTGTGTACTTTGATTAGTTTCATTACCTGCTTTCATATATTTAATTATATTTTCTGTTTATTTTGTTAAAACAATATCTGGATTGTTTTTCAAAATAAAGTTTTCACATCTACGGCAGTGATTCATGCTCTTAAATTCAGGAAATTTAAAATATGGATAAGAAGTTAAACATTTCGGTTAACTTTCTTAGTTATTATAAGATCTTCTATATTTATTTTTGACGTGTTTGCTTTTGCATATATGGGGAAAAAGAAAGAGGGAGAAGACACATATAATTATCTAATTGTGATCATAAAGTATGCAGAAATGGTATATACTAATTTTAAATCTATTTAATAAATACATTGTCATGGTATAAAATTTGACAAAGAACATTATTAAAAAGATATAAAATAATTTGTAAATTTTTAGTCACTTTTCAATAGCATTTTCATTTATTTAGTAAAGTAAATGTGTCACTATTATTATGACATTGTTCACTTAATAAAACATAGCTAATGCCATTCAAAATTCTCTTTAATGCTCATCAATTATAAAGGAAGTTTTTAAAATTCTCTAATTTTATTAGTCTATAGTAAATTTCCAAAAACTAAATATTTTGTAACAACAGTTAGTCAGTTGTGGTTTTATGCTTGACTGCTAAAAATTCTGGTAGTAATGTTCTAATTTTTTTCATAGAACAACAGGCATCTATTTAAGTTCATGGCACCAGTTTCCACTTTCTTATTAATCTGAAGATAGCTAATGTTAGTCATCTTAGTATTTCTGATGATTCTTCAAAAAGAACAAAGGGAGGTATGGTGAGGTGGTAAAAAGTGTGACAGATGTAGATTCCTGTAACAAGTTAGATAATCTTCATTACCCCAGTTTTTTGTTTTGTATTTGGAAAGAATATATATATATTTTGGAATTTAATGAAAATAATAATCCATGTCATGTAGTATTGTTGTGAGACTAAAAGGAGAAAAACACATAAAGCAACACAATGCCTTCCACAAAATAAGCACTTAACAAAGGTTAGTGTACAGTAGTGGAGGTGGATGTTTTCTCTATGTAGTTATCGGAGAATTCATCAACTCTCTGTATAAGACTTTAGGGCACCATCAAGAAGTAGTAGGATGTTTTTGTGTGATATAGTTGAATATATCATTCATTCATTCAATCAGTACATTTATTGAATGCTTGTTTGTTGTCCTTAATCTATGCTCTCATTTCATATGGATCTTTTTTAACCTTTGTGCACAGCAGGTTGTCAATAATTTCCTTGATTATTTCCACTCAGCTGTGAGCTTCTTAAAGGCAAAGATTATTTTACTCATCTCTCTGTTTCTATTACTTTGCACTAAGGCAGATATGGTATTATACTTAGTACTTTTAAGTTTATAGCTCTGTTTCCCTATTTTTGTGCTGTTACAGGTCAGTCTCATGACCTTTACTGCCACTTACTATGTATATTTTGAAGAATCAAAAATCTGTATCTCTAGGTTACATCTTTAGTTTTGATAAGTTTCCTACATTTCCAAATGTATGCTCAATACCTCTAGTTTGAAGGCCTTAAATATTTTAAAAATCATACATTAAAATGGAAATCATTATTTTAAAAATAATTTCCCAATCTCTAATCTTGCTTCTCCTCTAATATTCCCAAACTCCCATAGATTTATAACCAGTTAAATTTTTTCCCATATTAAAAGTTTAAAAGATGTCCTTCTCTCTTTTATCTCACCACATCTTATTAAATATGAAGACCTGTCAGTGTTATCTGCACAAAGTCTCCATGATGGGCCGGCTTTCATCAAACCTATTTTCTATTTCTCCAGGACACAGTCTATATTTTCCAGCCTACCTTGCACAGCTAATGGAGGCCCAGTACTGAATTCTGACTCATGGAATCCGGGTAAAAGAGTTTGGTATTCCTTCCAGTATGTACCATGAACATACCTGTCATATGTGTGGCCACCTCGAAAAACACATGTCAAAGACAGCTGAGCCACAGTGCGAAAGGAGCACATACTCCTGAGTCACTGACTGCAGTGCGATCAAGCACACCTCTTTTGTTTCTTCCTTGATCCAAAAGAAAATTCAGTTATAGCGAGGGCTTTGTAGCCCCATTAATTACACTATATCAGCAGCTAATCATGATTGAATCAATAGGGAGCTTTGTTCCAAAACTAAGGGTGCTGCCATTGCAAAATCCCTAACATATGTGCTGTTGGCTCACCTGGCAACTGAAATAGCAAGAAGAAACCTTTCTTCTGCCTTACTTTTTGAATTAACTATCTCAACTGTTCTGCTTAGAAATCAACTTTTAGGTTAAAAGCCCCATTTATGGTAATTTCAAAACCCTCCTCTTCTCCCTTCTTTCCCACATTTAAAGGAAAAAAAACAAACTTGAGTGCTGACATTCTTCAGAATTTTCCTTCTTCTGAAAATGTGGCTCTTCAGATAAAAAACAAGAGTGATTATGAGAGTTTAAATAAAGAATGAAGCACTTTATCATAGCTTTGGAAAGAGTTCCTCACACTACCTGCATGCATAATTGTCAACTACACTGTTCTTGGCATCCCCTCTCCCCTCCCGCGGCCATTCTGCTGCTAGAATACAGATCTTGTCAGGCTTCCTATAAAACACCAGCCACTATCATGCTACAACCCTTATGATGCACAAAGTAAAGTACTTTGGAAAAGAGGAAAGCCACCTGGCTCTCCTACAGACATTGGTTTTCTTCTATTGAAAGGGTCAAGGAATGCTAACTGCAAAATAACCATCAGCTCAGGTTTTTAATTGTTCAGCTAATTTGCCTTAAAGTGCAACACATGGCCTTTGAGATGAGCTGGACCTCATCAAAACAAGCTGCTTTATGTTTCAGAAATCTGTGGACACCAACCTTGTCCACTGCAGGAGACCATTCTGCGTGGCGTGGGCCCATTCTCCCAGTGGAAAGCAAGGTTGAATGCACAGGACCCACGCCCACGGATAGGTTCCTCCATGGGGAATCAGGCCTGCATTGTACCTAGGCCACTTTGAGACTTGCTTTTGCTAAAACTCCCTCATCCTGAATTGAGGACATTTTACTGCAAAGTAATTTTCTAAAATCCATGCTAAACCTTCTGAGGATGAGTGTAACCAGTTCAACCACTTTTCTCTTTACATTTGCAAATATCCTTCTTCTGTGATGTGATTAGCGGCATTGTCTCCTTTGTCTTCTGTAAAAGTAACCACCTAAAGCAAACCTGTGCATAGTAAATGAAGACTATCATATAGTGTTCAGAAAAAAGAAATAAAGGCCTGTCATGGCGGAGGTCATGGATTTTTGTTCCCCTTGAGAGAGAAGCCTCCCACCCTCTTCCTCCACAGAACTCAGTAGTCTGTGTGAATATCTCTCCCCCATCTACAATGTTGTGGACCCCACGAGTCTGGGTCTGCATCAGTCCACCTTGTTTTGACATGTGACGAAGGTGTCTAATACAGTCAACTTAATACACGGTGAAACAACAGCACATCATGAAAGTTACTTACTGTGAGTGTCCATACATCGTGGGGCTATGAATGTGTTTCCATGTGTATGTATACACAGATGCCAGTCTGTATGTGCAAGTGAGAGCTACTGAAAATTAGTGGAGCTAAGGAAAGCAGTAGCTCAAAACATTCAGCCAAAGGAAGCATCTCTTAGGTTTAATTGCCTAGGTTGGGAAATATACAGGATAATTTCTCATGCCAGGGGGAGAGAAGATCTTTTTATCTAGTTTACTATTAGAGAGTGAGATAAATAAAAGATAACAGAAAGATAACGCTGAGTGGGCAGGTAACAGGTAGTAATATAAAAAGACCAGGCAGGGCTGGATCTAGGTTTTTTGTGAGACCTGAAGCTTATTCAACTTGGGCAGGTCCTCTTTTAGAAAAAAATATATGAAACTACAAATACAAAGGCAGAAGACTTGGCAGAAGACTTTGGGAAGGGACTTTCAAACAAGGGGTACCGAAACCTCAGCCTCATTATTTTCATTGTAAGTCTTCCTCTACACCCTGAAAACCTGGCAATCTCATGAGAAAATGTGACTGCAGAAACTTCTTTTATGAATAGAAGTGGTCAACAACCAGGAATGAACTGAATGTTACTTTTGTATACTGTAGAATTTTTCTGAATTGATATGCATGATTTCCAGAATTTAAGAAATATTTGAATTGAAATATTATAACCACCTATATTTCATATCATCACTTTACCATTTCAAGATAAACCTCTTCATGCTTAGCAGCCCAAAATAATTAGGCTAAGGTAACAGACTCTCAAATGTCAGTGGCTTAGCCTAATTAGCTCATTTCCTTGAAACTACATGTCCAACGGGACTGACAGAGGTGCCACCATTGTGTAGCTTTAGCATCTGTTACATGTGACCTCCAAGGCTGCTATGGCAAGGTAAGACAGCATGGTGGGAAGAAGGTAGTCCCAACAGAATCTTAAATGCATTTTCTCCACGATGATATACATCACATATGCTTACAGCCTTTTGTCCAGACCTTTTCAGGTGGACTTGCCTAACACACAGGCTTTAGGAAATGCAGAAGAACAGATAAAATGTTTTTTTGATACATACATAGTCATA